TCATTTGATATCAAAGCTAGATTTGTCGAAGGTAAATACATCTAAACTGAAGCCACTTTTCTTCATCTCTTCCTGTTATCAATCCCACAACACCACCAAATTCCAAATAATAATAATTGAAAAATAAAGAATCACCAAATTAATGGGTCGTATGAAGAATGCAAAGATTAGACCTGAGAGATACATTGGACGGTTGAACTAGAAGATTTATAAAAATTTTCACTCAATTTTGAATCAATGTATGAAAAAGTATAACAAGTTTTCATCCATTTTACAAGTATCAAATATCATGGAAGTATGCATATGATTCTAGATCATCTCATGATAATACATATAATCATATAACCTAGTCAAACACAAGGGATCGATCAAGAATGGCATTTTCCAATAACTTTTTAAGTTCAATGAGAAACTAATTTGAATCATCTGATCTACCTTGGATTGAGAAAGTATCAATAAGAAACATAAGAATGTTCTAATAAAAAACTATCAAGAGAAAAAAAAAAATTGATCCATATATGAAATCCAATGTCAATTTCAAAAGTTCAAGCACTAGCATACCTTCAATACTTAACTTGATTCTTCAAGCACCTATAAACCTTCAGTAATTAACTTGATTATTATGTTAAATTAATATGAGGATTGTTATTGAGATGACATGGGTTCTACGTTTAGCTTAATGAGCGATCGATCTTCAATAATCAAATGTCTTTGTGAGTCTCACCCGAAGATTGTGCATGAGACTTCTTTTAGCTATGCCTCTAACTGGGATTGACATAATTTGTTGTTACTATTATGGCTGTGTAAGCATAGGTAAGGTTGGTATTATCTTCAGATTCTTCTTTAGATATATAGTTTGTTTCACAAATTCAAAAATCAACACTTGCTTAACCTTTAGAATAGATGCAATGTAATACATAGATCAAGCATAGGCTAGATTACATCATTCTAATACTTGTGTTCGCCTTTAGAATTTGTTTTCAATTTGAAATGTATTTAATTTTTGGAATATCTTTATTTTAAATTTGACAATGGTATTTCGAAAGTTAATCTAGTTTTGAAATTAAATTGCTATGATTTGAATTTTTAATCTTATTTCTATAAGAAGGGATTTAAGTGTTTGTATTTGGATAAATCATTTATAAAAAAAATTAACAACATTTCATTCTTTTCTCTCCCAACTCTCCCTCTTCTACAAATCGAGATTGTCACTAAACTGTCAATAGACTGTTCATTTATATCATGGGGTCTAACATTTGAGGAATGGATAAATTAAATTAATACCTGGCGTATGAGTTCTCTTATTTCTCTTCGGAACCTATCAACTTTCGTTGATTTGCAAAAGCTTCGCAACCGTACCAACGGAATAAAAGACAGCTCGAAGAAGGCAACAGAGCAACTCCACGGAGCCAAATGTTCAGCGAGTTCTTCAACAGTGGCATATATACACGCCTCCTGAAAAGCTCGAGTTTTCAATGTCAATTTGTCCAACTGCAAAGAAAATTATAGATGAGACTCACAAAATGAAATAACTAAGAAAAAAGGGAACAGCAATCTACATACATAGCATACAATTCTAATTTATTTACATATCTCACACCTATATTTTCATATTTACTCACACAGCACTCAAATCTTTAATATCACATAAAAAATAACAGTATTAACACTTCTTAAAAGTGAAATACCCATTTTCATGCATAGGTGTAAAACACCAAGTGCTATGTATGTAAATATGAAAGTTTAGGCATGACACATGTAAATACATAAGTGCGTACTACTTATGTAATTTCCCACACAAAAAATTGAGAAAAAAACACCTGTTTAACACTTTGCAAATCCACAGCTTTACCAACACCTCCTTTTGGAGGAGTATGCAATTCTTTCATGTCAAGCATATCAAGCAGAAGTGTATTAACTGGGCTGAATGTATCAGTAGCTGCAGCGATACGGTTTAACATTTTTATGCATCTCAAACGAAGTGGAAAGTAACGAGCAGATGGGACCAAAGTAGCCACTCCAGAAATTATTTGAGTGAGTGGATATGCTAAAGGCCCAAAATCAGCTTCTGAATTATAGGCACAAATAATTTTCGTCCAGAGTTCGAGGCAAAAAATAAACTGCCAATCATAAACCTTTTGATACGTTTTCTGTAAAACAAAAGGCATCACTTCAGAATAGTTTATAGGAACCAACAGTAAAAGTTGGAAAACCGAAGTAGTCTATGGAAACTTGAATGCTTTAAGATGTTGATTAAAAAAAGGGGCTTTTACATACATTCCACACATTTATTATGCATTTACGTATGTAACAGCTAAACATTCATATTTACATGCATAACCATCAAATCTTTAACATCAAATCACAAATACCACCATCACTATCTTTTTTAAGTGAAATACCTCTTTCATGCATAGATTTATGACACCAAAGTGTTACAAGTGTAAATATAAAACTTTAGGTGTTAGATATGCAAGTACTTAAGAAATGTGGCATGCATGTAAATTTCCCTAAAAACTATATTCATACGTAAACAAAAAAGCCAAGACATTTAGCCTTCTGTATTTTGCCTAATGAACATGTCTTATGTAATGTATGAGCACTATTAGGAGCTAAAATTCTATCATGATGATAAAATATAACCACATATACCTATCCATCAGCCTTGCCTTGCATGTCTCA